AGTCGTTTCCAAGGGAGAGCGACCTCAAAGCGAGTGCCATCAAATTTCAGAGATCGTTTAAATACTGATAAAGCGGTTTTGTCGTCTAAAGACATTTCCTTGGCTCTCCTTTCCTTTGGTTCCTTGAATTCACTATCGTACAGACGTTGTATTTGTCTCTCTAAATCGTTCACTGTCGAGGCATAGCACCATTTCGTTGATGATCGTGAAGTTGGACCCATTAGGCTCCATCCCAATGCTGTTTTGACCGCGTAAGGCTCATCGATCTTTCCCAAACGCTGTTCTAATACCCAATGGGCCGCGGGAACATCAGAACCAATTAACAGCTCTACTCGCATATCAAAGGCATGGGAAAATTTGACACTCCGGAGATGCTCCCATGACTTTAATTCTTCCGTCGTAGGCAGAACTCTTTCCATTTTGGGAAGTCGATTTATCGTCCAAGCTCTTTTTATCAGGATGGTGTTTGATCCGTCACAAGATTCGACCGAAAATGAAGCTTCAAAAGCCGAATTTTTAGTGGTCCCGGAAACAGTGTTGATAGATAAGGACGTGCGTTTCCTTATCGATCCAAGTCGTTTCGCTAATCCTTCCTCGATCAAAGTGCTATTAGATCCGTTGTCCAAAAACGCCAAGGTTTGGATAACTGTGTTTCCACATCGAACTCTGACTGGAATCACGCACAGCGCAACGGCGTGTATTGATCGAGATAATGTGCTTGTTTACACATGGGGCACCATATCTTTGGAGAACCAGCTAACATTTCGTCGTCGCTCTTCTGAATGACCAAGATTGTAGATTTACGACCAGTCTCGAACCCCGAAGTCCTTTGCTTCCTTGGTGATGAATGAGTGGTAACCAGAACACCAAAGTTTGAGTTCCTTATCTCGGATTGACGTTCGATAAATGCACAAAGGTGGGTAAACAGGGGTTCAACTTGTTCTGATGTCAAATCTGTGGCTACTTCAGCCCACTTGAGTTGTAAAATCCTTGGCAATCGTCGGACAATACACTCGAACGTTCTGTAAGCGTTCATGTCAGACTCGTAATTTAATTGCGTTAGTGTGACCTCGCATACCCTCATCTGTTGAGCCATCGTCATCAGACTCAGGTTGTCATTGATGGGAATAGGTGCTCCATCGGTAATACGGCTTATGAGAGCACGAGCAATCATGTGCTTTTGCCCGAAACGCTTCTTCAATGTTTCTTTGGCCCTTTTGTAACCCTCCTGATCATCGAAGATCACTAGGTCTTCAATGGCTTCCTTTGCTGGTCCTTTACAAAACTGAATGAGCTAGACCAACTTTGCATCGTCGTCGATTGGAAGGCAATCCACCGAGGTTGAGAAACAGCGCATGAATGACCAATATTTCGAGGGATGCTCTAGAGACTTTTGGATGTCTTTCTTAGGTAGGTCTGCATGTACCTTTGGGCGTATAGGGCGGAGTGATTCAGACTTGAAGGCCAATGAGTCTTTCCCCTGCTTCAGTTTCTCCAACTCTAGTTCCTTCTCCAAAAGCGTTATGCTCAGTCTTGTTAACTCTATGTCTCTTTCAGCGGTGCCTTTGTCGAATTTGTTCCTACACATTCTTTTGGGTGCATTCATATCATCACTATCGAACGTATGTGATTCACCGTTTGATGAAATTTCGTAGGTGTCTCTATCTTGATAACTGTTAGCTCCGTGGATCTCCTTTAACGTAAATCTTATCTCGGTCTGATCACGTGCATTGATATTAATATACGTATCCCGTACGATAATGTGCTTACGTTTTGTTCAACTCAACTTGGATTGTGAATAATCAAGCGAGTAATCAGGCCGATGAAAAATTTGTATACAACCATAGCCGATCGGTCTGCCGTTGTTCTTTAGGACTTTTTCGAGTCTCTTCGGCAACGAATCCACCAATTTTGTTATGAAATCATTTTCCGTTTTGTGCTCCATTACGTAGCGCACTTTTGCCTCCAATGTCCAATGTACAGGTAGCACACAGACCTCTCTCTTCAAAACAGAAAACAGATTTTCAATCACTTAGAGATCCGGTCTAATAGAGGGAAAATCACATAGCCTTAGAGTCACACGTCTTTTCTGATGTCTAAAAGCAAATAATAAGTGAATCAGTCTCCCCTAACTAAATAAAATTACTAACCTCTCGTGCAACCTGACACGGATTGAAGTAGACAAAAGATAAATTATTGTCCGTGCCTAAAGCATTAATATAGATGGCGAATATAATGAAACTCAATTCGATCAGGAAGAAAATATTTTAGTGCATCACAATTGGCCAGTTCTGTAGATGATATCTTTGTGTAGCTAACAAGAAAACTAATCTTGTTCATGTTGATTCAGAATGCAACGCAGCAAATTCGTCAGTTAAGTTCACGACTGAACCAGACGCAATTGAGTGCCTTCTGTTTTTGGACGTTCATCTGAATGGACGCCCTGATGG